TTGAGTGTGAAATCATTGACATCCGGTATGTATTTGAGATTTTTTCTTTTTTTTTCTTTTACGCTCCGGGTGCGATCGTGTATAACATGTAAGTATGAATAAAGACAGAAAAAAATCATCCTCTTAATATTAAATACTTGTATATATATGATAGATTTCAGACACATGTAACAAACAAGTTATTTAGAAAAAAATAGATATATAACTATTTGTCACATCAATCCCACAATTCATCACCTAACACGTGACTCTTGACTGTTTATACTTCAGTATGTAGTAGGTCACGACAGCGCGATATTTTCTTTGTGACACCATACTCTTTTGTTTCCAATTACTCTATAAAACAAGCTAAGTACTGTGATTGATCAGTTGTACATTGCGGATGTAATTCAGAAATACGCATCATCTGAAATATCGCTATAACGTAGAGCAAATACACTACGCCATCTAAATTATATCTGACATAAAATATAATACACGTTACCATCTAAAAGTAAATCTAACATAAACATTATAAATTATAAAATTGATTTTGACACGAACCATAATACACTATACCAACTGAAACTGTTTCTGACATAAACATGATACATGTACATTTCTCCATTTCGAATTATTTCTGACAACTTGCACTTCACCAACTTATTTCTGACATAAAACATAATACACTACACCATCTAAAGCTATTTTGACATAAACATTTTACATTCCACCATTTCAAAATTATTTCTGACATAAATATTATTTTCTATACCAATCTAAACCATCTACAAATATTTCTTCTTTGAAACATAGTTAATCAAATCACCTTATGTGCTCACAACAACAAAAGAAAAAAGACATAAAACATCATACCATCAAAAACAACTGTTGACATTAAACACATTATACTTCATCGCTAACATTTAAGCTTGGGAAAATATTATTGCAAACAATGAACAATGTCCTTATTTCATTTCTAATTGGTACCCGTTTTCGCGTGTTTTATAATGAAATGAGAATGTGAAAAAACTGCCAAAGATTTAACTTTCGTGAAGGTTTGTTATCACTTAAATGACAATTGATAGTAATGGCAGGTTAAGGATACTATTGTGTGTATGGAATAACGAACCAGTTCGGTAGTAGAGGGTCGTGCCATTATGTAAACACATTGTACCGAAATTTTAAGAGACAGTAGTTTGTGCCAATTTGTGAAGATACAGTTTGATATAATATGTCAGTAGAACCTGGTCGACACGTCATACTTTTTACAATTATTGAATGAGAAGGAAATGTTCACAGATCGAGTGCAAAATCATAAAACCGAGCCGTTCAAAGTCCATTTATCTTAAAGCAACATTTCCACATAATTTATTTCAATCTAGCATTGCCTGATGAGAATAATTGTTATGCCAGTGTGCTAACCGATATCGAGCAGGCTAATTGCGTTTTCCTTTTCCTTGTAGATTTGTTTCACAACGTGATTCTTCTTTAAACATCTATATAGCTTTGAGCGACCCATTTTCCTAACTAATACTGACTTAAATGACGTTTTGATTGCAAATCTTTCCATTGTAAATGCACACTTTCTGAACAAGCATTATGGATTCCTATACATATACCTTACAAATTGTAACATTTTGAACTTATACCTCTCTATTTTGTCTTCATTGACATAGCATAAGGATGTCATGTCATCCTTGCTACCTTTGTTTGTCGTTTTCTGAGATTGCGATCTAAACGCACATGTGGTACTTCTACAACAACGTCATAAAAGGACATGTGATTAAAACGTGAGAACCAATCTGAAGTCTAGGGTTCGAATCCCGGTAAAGCCCGGCTGATGTGTTCCACTCAGTTGATTATATGTTGTCTATTTCCTCTTTGTTATTTGTCTTACAAGTCCCACAGAGTAAGGTTTCTGTCCAGAGATAATTTGTCAAAGCTAAAGTCATGTCAAAAAAACAACAGTCTTCAATAGCTACGGGGACCCTTGACATATTTATCTATTCTAAACAGTGAGCCGAGTCGTCTAGAGAACAAAAGTTAAAAAAAAACCAATCATATTTCAATATTATCAGTCAAAGTACAATTTACATAATATCGCTTGTTTAATACATATAAGCGAGGTATATAAGTGAGGTATTTCAGTGAGGTATATTCTAGCTTGTTTAATACATATAAGTGAGGTATTTCAGTGAGGTATATTCTAGCTTGTTTAATACATACAAGTGAGGTATATAAGTGAGGTATATTCTAGCTTGTATAATACATATAAGTGAGGTATATAAGTGAGGTATTTCAGTGAGGTATATTCTAGCTTGTATAATACATATAAGTGAGGTATATAAGTGAGTTATATTAATGAGGTATATAAGTGAGGTATATAAGTGAGGTATATTAATGAGGTATATAAGTGAGGTATATTAATGAGGTATATTAGTGAGGTATATTCTAGCTTGTTTAATACATATGAGTGAGGTATATAAGTGAGGTATATTCTAGCTTGTATAATACATATAAGTGAGGTTTATCCTAGCTTGTATAACACATATAAGTGAGGTATATAAGTGAGGTATATTAATGAGGTATATAAGTGAGGTATATTAATTAGGTATATAAGTGAGGGATATTAATGGGGTATATAAGTGAGGTATATTAATAAGGTGTAGTAGTGAGGTATATTCTAGCTTGTTTAATACATATAAGTGAGGTATATAAGTGAGGTATATTCTAGCGTTATATATTTTGAATGCGAAATCTACTTGTTGGTTGTTCTGTAGGGTGTGTTATATAAGGTCTGTAGGGTTTGTTATATAAAGTATGGTGATTTTCATTTAATCGGTTAAAATGCCTAAATATCAAGATAAACATTATATCAATGGATCTATTTGATAGTGATTGTAGTACGAACAGGTGTTTTATAGATAGGTATTAGTATAAATACATACTACTCACTTCACAAGATTAAGTAGAAATCGAGACCTTTTGAAGCCTAACTAACTTTCATTGAAGTCAACAGACAAAAACACCCTCTTGAAAGGGAAGTGAACTGCACTTATCAAACTTGAAATACCACAAATCGCCCATGTTTTGTGAACACCAACAAGTAGTGAAGTAGACAATTTGAGTAAACAGTGTTATCACATTCCTATGAGGCCCTTGTCAGAAATAGATCTTGATATTACAACATGTAATATAGCCTCTGGGTCTTCATTTACCTTGATTACAAAACCTCTTGAGAATAAGGTAAAATTTGTTCTCTTAGGCCTTCGGGTAATGCTTTTTTTGTGTGTTAATAAATTAATCTATCATTCTATATATCTATTATATTAATACATGTTCTTATAAAGCATTCAAACTATTTATTTATAAAGTAATACAGAGTTTGCGTTGTAATTCAACATTGAAGGCATAAGATGTATTCCACCTGTAATGATGATGTCTTTCAAAGATCAGTAAACTCAAATCCTCGAAGATTGATTCCTTACTTTTTAAATATTATGTACATCAAGTATTCTTGTATGAATCATATTCTTATTTAATGAAGGCCTACTATTATTTTACCAGTACGACTACGTCAGTTTTTTTATATGTTGTTTAGTCTACTATGATGCTGTTTTACTAGTACTAATATATAAGTTTGACATGTCTCCCAGTTTACCAATAATGGTTGTTTACAATAACAAAAATGTGTATATCATGCTGTTCAGAATACTATTTAGTATAAATTTTTAGTAACTATATACTAAGTACGAAAATGTGTATTTCATGCAGTTCGAACATGTGTATTTCATGCAGTACGAACATGTGTATGTCATGCAGTACGAACATGTGTATTTCATGCAGTACAAACATGTGTATTTCATGCAGTACGAACATGTGTATTTCATGCAGTACGAACATGTGTATTTCATGCAGTACGAACAAGTGTATTTCATGCAGTACGAACATGTGTGTTTCATGCAGTACGAACACGTGTGTTTCATGCAGTACGAACATGTGTGTTTCATGCAGTACGAACATGTATATTTCATGCAGTACGAACAAGTTTATTTCATGCAGTACGAACATGTGTGTTTCATGCAGTACGAACATTTGTATTTCATGATATTAAGATTTCTATTAAGGCGGGTGTTTTTTTTCCTGCACGAATATGTTTGTTTCCAAAAGCCAATCAAAATCTTATTTTACATCAAAACCATTTTCCTACGAGGTACATTTTTAGTAATAAAGACAACGATGATTCCTATTTATTTTGATATTTTCAAGCATATTTACAGACATTTTCTATTGTAGATACATTGTAACCAATCTCATTGAGTATGAGATTTAAACCTGTCAAAACAAGGGTTCTTAGGAATTACCTCGCTCCGGCTTGTACCGTTGATACGTGCATTCAATAAATAAAATAAGTCTCATAGATAGTATAAACAGTGATGGAGCTTAATGCAGCTTCCTAATTCGGGCGCAACCTACACCTTGACTTTCAATTCATTCTTTTTGTGCTGTTTTCGTGTTGCATCTATTTATTTATTTTTCGATAGCGGTATGCATAGAACTTGTACTACTTGATAAAAGGTTATACTGATATCCTTGTTAAAATCAAAATTAGTGAAATTAGCATTAACCACTATTTTTATACGATATAATAGTTAACCCAGTTTGTCAATTAGATTTTAAACTACTTTAAACATTATTATATTTAATACCTATGCATTCTTATTGCTGTTATCAATTCTACAATGTACCATTTAAATATATCACTGATAATCCCACCATGTCCGAAGTAACGTCCTTTAAATATTTTGCACAGTTTTTGAAAGGGATTTTTTTTTTTTAAACCCGCGAAAGCAGCCAGATAACTGATACCCTAGCCAGACTCCACACATATATTACTAACTCCCATCCAGACTCCACACATATATTACTAACTCCCATCGTTAGCGAGATTTATTTTTCATTTGTTTTATAACGAATGTACATCCAGTATTAAAAGCTTATGAACAAGGTATACTTACTCGTATCCCGAGCTTGCTATTATGCTGGTTAATCATGGCCCGGTGGTCTTTGCCCCGCCGTTTGGCCCGCCGAAGGAACCTCCTTGTGAACCGGAAGCCGTACTTGACATTGTCACCACAGCCGCCCCACCGCCACGCCTCCTTGTTCTGAAGACTCTTGGACTCGTCGCATGTGCATCTGTCCAAACGACCACTACTACACGCACGTGCAAATTCGTGCACTAAGCTCGCAGAGGACATCGCGTATAGAAAAGATGTTTCTTTGAAGCCTGAAAATAAAATAATAACCAACATGTTAATACGTCAAAACACCAGGGTATTTTACCACTGTGTGAACACACCATATTAACCAAATGTATTGTCTAAACGTCAGCTTAAAAAAAAACATATTAAACTCAACATTGCAAAATATACCACAATGTAAACATACAAGAAAAAGGATCTACCACAAAGTCAACCCACAATACCAAAATATACTCTAACGTCAAACCCAGAATGTATAATCATGTCAATTTTCAAACCCTTAAAATATCATAACGTTAGCATAAAAAAAATATATAACAGCAGCACAATTCTTTTTTATAAATAATGACACACACACAGCCAAATATACCATTCCGGAAACACATTAAACCAAAATATACCAATACGTCAACTCAAAAACACAAAAAATACCATAAGATCAAAACACAAAAAAAATATACTGTAAGGACAACACACAACCAAATATACCAAAACATCATCACACAATAAAAAAGTGTACAATAACATCACACAATAATCAAAATATCATAACATCACACAATAATCAAAATATCATAACATCACACAATAAACAGAGAATATCATAAAATACACCAACCAAAATATACCATAACATACACAAACCAAAATATACTACAACGTACACAAACCAAAATATACTATAACATACACAAACAAAAATATACCATAACATACACAAACCAAAATATACTACTACAACATACACAAACCAAAATAACCTACAACATACACAAACCAAAATAACCTACAACATACACAAACCAAAATAACCTACAACATACACAAACCAAAATAACCTACAACATACACAAACCAAAATATACAATAACATACACAACCCAAAATATACTACAACATACACAAGCCAAAATATACTACAACATGCACAAACCAAAATATACCATAACATACACAAACCAAAATATACGACAACATACACAAACCAAAATATACCACAACATACACAAACCAAAATATACTACAACATACCCAAACCAAAATATACTACAACATACCCAAACCAAAATATACTACAACATACAATATACCATAACATACACAAACCAAAATAACCTACAACATACACAAACCAAAATATCCTACAACATACACAAACCAAAATAACCTACAACATACACAAACCAAAATATCCTACAACATACACAAACCAAAATAACCTACAACATACACAAACCAAAATATACAATAACATACACAAACCAAAATATACTACTACAACATACACAAACCAAAATATACGATAACATACACAAACCAAAATATACCACAACATACACAAACCAAAATATACTACAACATACACAAGCCAAAATATACTACAACATGCACAAACCAAAATATACCATAACATAGGCAAACCAAAATATACTACAACATACGCAAACCAAAATATACTACAACATACGCAAACCAAAATATACTACAACATACACACACCAAAATATACAATAACATACACAACCCAAAATATACTACAACATACACAAACCAACATATACTACAACATACACAAACCAACATATACTACAACATACACAAACCAAGATATACTACAACATACACAAACCAAAATATACTACAACATACACAAACCAAAATAACCTACAACATACACAAACCAAAATATACTACAACATACACAAACCAAAATATACCATAACATACACAAACAAAAATATACTACAACGTACACAAACCAAAATATACTATAACATACACAAACAAAAATATACCATACCATACACAAACCAAAATATACCATAACATACACAAACCAAAATGTACCATAACATACACAAACCAAAATATACCATAACATACACAAACCAAAATAACCTACAACATACACAAACCAAAATATACTGCAACATACACAAACCAAGATATACTACAACATACACAAACCCCAATATACTACAACATACACAAACCAAAATATCCTACAACATACACAAACCAAAATATACTACAACATACACAAACCAAAATATACCATAACATACACAAACCAAAATATACTACAACGTACACAAACCAAAATATACTATAACATACACAAACAAAAATATACCATAACATACACAAACCAAAATATACCATAACATACACAAGCCAAAATATACTACAACATACCCAAACCAAAATATACCACAACATACACAAACCAAAATATCCCATAACATACACAAACCAAAATGTACCATAACATACACAAACCAAAATGTACCATAACATACACAAACCAAAATGTACCATAACATACACAAACCAAAATTTACCATAACATACACAAACCAAATTATACTACAACATACACAAATTAAAATATATCATAACATACACAAACCAAAATATTCTACAACATACACAAACCAAAATATCCCATAACATACACAAACCAAAATGTACCATAACATACACAAACCAAATTATACTACAACATACACAAATTAAAATATACCACAACATACACAAACCAAAATATACGATAACATACACAAACCAAAATATACTACAACATACACAAACCAAAATATACTACAACATACACAAATTAAAATATACCATAACATACACAAACCAAAATATACTACAACATACACAAACCAAAATATACCATAACATACACAAACCAAAATATACCATAACATACACAAACCAAAATATACCATAACATACACAAACCAAAATATACCATAACATACACAAACCAAAATATACCATAACATACACAAACCAAAATATACCATAACATACACAAACCAAAATATACCATAACATACACAAACCAAAATATACCATAACATACACAAACCAAAATATACCATAACATTCACAAACCAAAATATACCATAACATACACAAACCAAAATATACCATAACATCACACAATTAACAAATATACCATAACATCAGCACACACAAAACAAATATACCATAACATCAGCATACAAAAACAAAATATACTACAAAGTCGCCACAATAGTCAAAATCAAACACATATCTGAAAAAATGCAACAAGGGAAAACGAGGAAACAAGAAAAATGGCAACATAATATGTTTACAATAATTGGAAGCGAAACAACAATATTCATACACAATAGTGATAACTGTCCGCCCAAACCCTTCTGTTGTCTGTATAACGGCTAGGTGCCAGGATGTACACTTACGGCGGGCTGCATGTCCAACCAAACACAAACATTTTTGTGTAACATATGGATGAAATAGCACCGCCCTGAATTAGATAGACTGGCTACCAGTCCCTAAGGTTTTAAAGAAGAATTTCTCAATTGCATTTTACTACTAGTTAATCTCCCCTTTATTTAGAACTTAGAATCAGACAGCCAAATGATCAAAATTATTAGAGTTAATTTTTTTATCTTAATAATTCAATATTCTAGAGACGTTTTCCAGTCTATGATTGTGGAAATGTATTCCCAATGATACTGGGTTTATCAGTTTAGAAAGCATCTCTATTTTGCAGTCAAACCTTTCCATTTTGAGCGAAACCTGTTCAATGATCCTTTGTCCTTTGTGCTAGTTAGTGTTAAATTGCGAATGGCACTAACCTTGACTACTTAATTAATGCTTGCTGAAACTGTGTCGTATAAATCGGACATCTTTTTACAATAGACACAATGATGGGGCTAAAACATATGTAGAAATGCTTTAAATCGCTTATGTTCCTATCCATCGCTGGTTATATTTTTCAATTATACTTTCATTATACAAAAATTCTTTTACACAATTCTCAAATTTTATTTTGTTTCTTCAATTTTCTAAATTGAAAACAAATAATTTAACTGATTGTCTAATTCTCTTTTTGCATTTATAATATCAAATGTGGTTCTTTGATATTGTTATTGGTCTGAAATAAAGCATATGAGGTTTCGTTATATTTGTATGTTTTGTTCGGAGACGACTCGGAAAGCTTATCAAAATGGAAAGAAATTGCTGGCGATCGGTTTGGGACTAGACGTAATTCATTTACACCCTTCGAACTTGTTTGGGGTACAATAAGGATGTATGTTGTAAATCTGTATGATAACAAAATACAATTTAAGTGAAAATCGTAAAATATGACTAAGAATCATATGTCGCCCGTCTCTAGAAGATATAATTACTCAGCTATATACGATATATAGGTTATGAACTAAAACCCATACATGTATCTTGTGTCTACAACTTTATCTGTTCCTGTACAGTGCACCAATCGTGCACTTCACAAACTGATCACATACGACCGCCAACGCGATTTTTTAAACAAAATATTTTCCCAGACGAGGGTTTTTATATACACAGATGTACCACGTAGCAAGTTTTTTTTACATTTTTATTATAAATGTCCTTGTCACACTACAAGTAAAACCTCATCAATGAGGCGTTATAGCTCAATGCGTGGCCTGTTGACGCGAGAGGAGCGCAGTGTTGCTGCTGCTTTATTGGTATTTTAGTGGGAGTGTAAGGAAGGTAGCCATTCTGTAAGGCAGACAAAGCAACCGTCAAAATCCTCATACGCCAGACAAATCACATGTAAAATATCCCCTGTGACTCTGGTGGTCCACACAACAAAATCATTTAAAGTAATCGTTTAGCAATTAGGGCCATCCGCACTTCTTTACCCTCGCGTAGGTAGATCATTTCTTCAACAATCATCCGTCAATTTCAAAAGGCGTATGAATACACCGGTATCTGTCATGGCGGACCAACAATAGATTCCACTTCAATCAGATATCCAGGTGTTTCGCTTGGTATGTAGTGTACTGAGGCGTGCACATCTTTCGTTCACTGTATTTAGTTAGTTTTCACAACTGAACATACTTTGGGATTTTCTACACGCCATTTAGCAAATGAACGCCCATCTCCTTTGTATAAAAAGCGGATTGAACGCGGCGTATCAATTGTCATTTACGAGATTGGACATATTAAAGTAACATCTATATGTGCTGGTAGAAATGTTAAA